TTCAAACGACCTTTTTATCAAACGTCTGTTTGAAACTTCATTTTTCCAATCGCCCGTTTCAAATGACCTTTTCAAACGACCGTTTGATTGGTAACAAACGAGCGGTTGAACTAACGTCGTTTGCAAACTAGGTTACCAATATGAGCCAACATGTTAATTAACGGGAATGATAATTAGGGCTGGACACAGTTACCCGTCCTTTATCCGTTCTCCGATTCGAGCCCATTTCGAAAAATAGGGTATCCATAACATTCGAGTCGGATAAAGGTACTATAATTTTGATACCCGCGGGTAAGGGTCGGATAAAAGGTATCATTTTTTTTCACTATCTGTCTCGTGACCCGTCCTCATACTCGATTTGTTATCCGACCCGTAAATACTCGTATTCTATATCACTAATATTTGATAAACTTAGTTATAAAATACATTGTATAATATATCGTATAGTATCAATACTTGCAACATCAATCTTTTGTATTTTTGAATTGTCATCGATAATTTTGGAAGCGATGGATTACAAGTTTTAAATTTTGAAGAAAAAAAAAAGTTCATAATATTGTATTTTATGAACTATATATATTGTTTATTAAGAGATTTTTTCTTTTTCGTAATAACTACTCCATTTCTTTGGTATACAAGTTGCTTAACTTAAGTTATAGATAAATTATATTACAATTGGTGTAAGAGTAATAGTTCGGGTATCCGATGGATCAACAAATTTTTGCCGGATATTCGTTGAATAAGATACTCGTTTTTGCAGGTCGGATAAAGATATTATTTTTTAAATATCCGTTAGGATTGGATTGGGTAACGGGTACACCAAATTTTTAGGGTACTTATCTTATGCCCAGCCCTGGATAATACATGGTATCTTGTAGTTAATGTTAGTATTATTATTGTATCACTCTTTTTCTTTTGCATCAAATTACGCTTCGTTTGTTTTCTTACGAAGACCTTCAAATTATATGCTTTATTTGTTCATGTAGCTTTATTTGTTGGTAATTTT